CTCTCAGTGACCAGGTATCGTCCAGCTCTACGTTCTGTAAGGTGTACACCCTCACGCCCACACTGAACAATAACAGGGAGAAAAGAGGGCTCGCACTGGATGGCAAACTCAAACATGAAGACACCAACCTGGCCTCCAGCACCATGTTAGTACTTCTATTGTTAAAACTCTTTTGTAGGAGTGCATGTACCTATATTGTAGAGATTCATTGCTCCTGAATTTTTGTGGCCCATTCAGATTCCTTTACAGCCAAATTGGCCAATGGCTGAATTTTTTATAGACTTTTTTTAATCTGAATCTCACACTGTGTCAGGTGAATACGCACATGACACACAACAACACATTTACAGTGTTTTTATTAGCCAACTTGCAGTTTTATTTGTTGTTTAGTGGGCCAAACTGCCATTTCAGGTTTTCAATTTTAAAATGTGGCTTTTTAAAGAACATGGTGCAAATAAAGTCCTACATTGAAAGGAAGAGGCAACTAGATGTAAAACACAATGAGTCATGAATAATTATGCTGTGACATTTTGGTGCAGCAGCATTCAGACACAGCATAAGTGCACTTACATGGATCATGTTATTTACATCACAAAATTGCAGCACAGCTGTGGAAAAATATCCCTGCAGATTTCTTTGAAAAACTTAAAGCAAATCTCTTGAAAAGAATGAAAATGTTATAAAGGCAAAAAGTGGGCACACTAAATACTGAAAAGATATTACATTTAGTTGTTGAGGCTTTTATGTTATTTTCTATTCAGTGTAATTTTTTTCTCCTTTTTTTGCAACACAGCTTTGACAAAATAATGATTAAAAAAAACAAAAAAAAACAAAACAATGCAATGCCTGATTCCGATGTGCATCCCTGCTATTTTTCAAAATCAGCAACTGACTAATCTGCTCTGTAAACATATATGCCCATGCCTTCTGCAGTGTTAAGGATGGATGTAACAAGGAGGTTCTCGGAGTTCTGGTGTCGTATCGAGTCAAAGTCAAACTGGTCGTCTCCCGCGGAGGGTGAGTCACCAGCTCCTCTGACACAATCCCATCTTCTGTACGCAGTTATATTGTAGCAGGGTGCATTTGCAGTCTGGCATTTATTCTCTCCACAGGGTCTGGATGACTGTTATTTGAGCTATTACAATTCATGCGTCAAAGGACTTCAGCATGTACACTTTACATAAATCCATTTTTGATTAGTTATATGATTCATAGCTTTGATCTTGTAGCTCGATGCACACCACACACACACACACACACACACACACACACACACACACACACACACACACACACACACACACACACAGGTTTTCTCCATACACTTTAGTCTTTGTTTAAATGACGGATTCGGATTCAGTATGTGTGATGATGTGGGTTGATGATACATTTGTGCCTTGTGCTGAATAGCAGAAAACAAGGAGCAGTAAGAGCTAGAGGGACAAATGTTTCACTGTTGGAACATTTAGCTTGGTCTGGAAGTTTGCCAATATTGCCCACTGGTTGTACAAGGCTACTATTATTACTGCTTCCTGGCCCTGTCTTGCATGATATGAATTTGACCCAAAAGAATGCTCACGGCGTGTTAAGATACACATATTAGTATTGATAGTTTTGCATTGGGTCGTGAGATTATCCGTGCTATCAATCGAACGTATTGATTGATTGATCGGCTGATTGATTGATTGGCTGATTGATTGATTAATTGATTGATTGATTAGACAAAAAATGGAATAGTCCCTGCTGGTCTATTAAAAACACTTCATGATATTCCTATAAGAGAAAACTACAAAAGTCAGAAAAAAGCTTTCCTGTGCTGTTGCACTTTAAATTTATTTGTCTTCTAAGAAAGTTAGTTCTTTATGTTACGCTCCCCGGACAAAAAAGGTCGCATGCATCATTTCTTCTCTCATAATTGAGTATCCAATTGTCTTAAAAGGCCTACAGCTTATATTTTTCTAGTATATTTCCCCGTCAGGTCTACTTATGACACTTGTATGGTTTTATGTATCAGAAACCGTCATCATAAATTTTTTCTTAGACTTATACAGGCTGTTTTTTGTTACTGTGTCTTTAAGACTGATATATGTTAATGACCTCTGTTCTGATTGGCTGCCCTAAGTTATGCTTCATTCAAAAAGAGTCCAGGCTGAAACACTCCTTATAACTTTAGCATGAATGAGCGGGGCCTATATATATATATATATATATATATATATATATATATATATATATATATATATATATATATATATATATATATATACTGGGGAGTGAACAGTACATTTTAAAAAAATTAACAGTATTTACATCCTACATAAAAACATTTTATTTAAAAGCACATAAATGTTGGTTTTCCATGATATGGGCCCTTTAATGACATAAAACTCTTCCGCTAACCTTAGGCATTGTGTCTGAGCAGAACACAACGTTGAAATTCCCATATTCCAGGATGACTGTAGAGTGTCAGTATTGGACTTGTTCAACAGAAATGATGGAACACTGGGAAACTTTGACCTGAAAAATCACCAGACCTCAATCCCAAATCTCAATTTGGAACAGCAGGTGAAATCCTGAAATAGGCTCGCACGAGCTGGCTGAAATATGCATGCAGTTTGTGGACTAGAATGGAAAAAAGACTGGTCTAATCCTTAACTGACAGGATTGGCACTGTTATTAAGACAAAGAGACCAAGTTTTAGAAAAGAAACAATGCATGTTTTTTTTTGCGGTGAGCTATATGTGTTAACCAGGCAATGCTGTTTTGGCAGTTCGTCTGTGACCAAAGTGTAAAAGCAAAATCAATGCTACCTTTCCTTTTTTCTACTTCTGTATCAAAAATGTATTATATCAGGAAAACCACAACATATTTCATATTGTTAAACTCATGTATCGTTACACCCCTGATTCTCAGTTTGAAGAGCTCTGTGTTGCAGTTCTTTATTTTAAGGGGTGCGGTACAACTTAAATGGGAATTCCACAGATTTTTCTAAATTTCTCCAAGTTTCGTTGTTGAGATATAAATAAAGTCATTGAGAGTGGTTTTAATTTGAAATATTTAATTACAGCGAACCTTACGACTCGCATTTACAGCAGTGGTGATAGGAACCAGTTGTCATTATGTCTGCTACACAAATATAGCCATTTTATGTACTGTCCAGAACAAATGATAACCCTGCACTTGTCTTTTAAATAACTAATGCAAAAATATATATTTTCTTTACCATTTTGCCTAATGCCATTTTGAATCTCTCTGGATAAAATAAATGGATCAAAGTGAGTTTTGGGCCAAACCATTATCACAAAACTATTGTAAAAACATTGTGTCAGGCACCGTATTTGTCACAATTTTGTGTAAATACTTTCTGTTAAGGAGCTTTTAGGTGCACTAAACTCTTCAAATGTCTAGTTTCTGTCATCACCACTCTGAGCAGTTCTAACTTGGTAAGTTTCCCTAGAAAGGAGCATGTCACATCGAACCACTGATCGACTTGTATCTTAACCGTTTAATTATGCGGAAAATTTTGAAAAATCTTTGAAATTCCCCTTTAATTTTATCTATGCCTTGTACGTGTGCAAGGTGGATGCCCCATGTATCCTGTGGTTGTTTGAAGTGCACATCCTCCGAAATTAAGATGATGCATCCGCAATATGTAATATCAGCATAAACGTTGGAGACATTATGCCAGACTGTGACCAAGTCAGCCACGGACCAAACAAACCATAACAACCACTTCTATTGTATAGTTTTACTGTTTTGTCATGATAGACAATTGTATAGTCTCCTCAGTGGTTATCATGTTCATTGTTGATCTTCAGAAGAAGTAATCAAGGGAGGCATTCTACTGCTGGCATGGGATTATTCGGATGTCACCTGCCCCCTAGTGGATATAGCTTTTAATCCTCCAGATACACTAAAAATAATTGCAGGTTAGCAATTTGAACAGTGCTGCTTATGTGGCTGCTGTGTGTTCATGAATACACAGTGCTTAAAATCAAGAATCAAGTGGCCCTAATTCATTGTGAACTTTTCTTTACTCCATGGAATTGTATTCAGATATACAACAAATGACCACTTCATCATCCTTATCACCTCCTCATATCTACACCTGTTGTCCATTTTATCAGGTCCACTTGCCACAGTCCACTTTATTAGACACACCTGCTTTATTGGTCCTTATAGATTTAGTCAGAGACAATACCTCATCTGTTGCTGCACAGTTAGTCTTTTACTTTGTTAGTCATCTTCTAGTTCAGGGTTATACAAATGTGGTACTGTAGGGCCGTATCCAGTACAATTGCGTGATTTACCTGCTCTGTAATTGGAGAACTACAAAGTGCTCCTGTATGGTAAGTGGAGCTAATAAAATGGACAGTGAGTGTAGATACAAGGAGGCATACTTAATGAAGTGGCTGGTTGGTGTATACATTTATTACAGACTCTATTTCCACTAGTGATAAAGCGGCTGATGCTCTCCACTAACCTCCATGTCTTTCTGCAGCACCCTGTAGATACATTGTTTCATTTGAGTTTTCACATCATTCTGTTCTCTGCTGGTGTTTCATCTTTTTCTCTGTGTATCTGTTCCCCCACATCTGTCTGTTAACCCCCCTGCGTTGCATCAGGCTTTTAAGCAGCTTGCTGGAGAGGTAAATATACATTATGCATCACACTGGTTTCCTGATTTGCCTGTCCAGGTTTGCAGTGAAGCTTGCCGTTTGTGCTGCTCATTTGTTTTCTCTTGTGAAATTCTAATGGGATAACACCTGCATCTACACACCAGAATATCCGTGCTTAACGGCGCTAAAACAAATCTGAATCTTTCAAATAGAACTATTGTCTTTTTCCTTTTTGCTTCCCACAGAGACGTCTCGGTTGAGCTGCCCTTCGTCTTAATGCATCCCAAACCCGTAGACCTCTCCAGCTCTCGACCAGCCTCAGGTATTCCTACCCATTCATTCCTGCTATACTTCAGCACTGAATACACAGAGTAGCACCACCATAGCATTCATTCAGTCAGACACATCTGAGGCCTGTCTCAAGAAGCACATTCAGCTTAGTCAGGGTTCCACACCAAGTTTCAGCTTCATGAAAACCACAGTTAACTTGCACTGTCAACCTACATGTCGATACTTAGGCTAAGATTTAATCCATGTGTGCACATATTACAATAAACAGCTAACTGAAACATGGAGAAGAGTCAAGCAGCTTACTTTTCAGTGGAGAACCAAGAATCATACTATGTAAATATGAAGAAGGTAAACCTGTTATAACGGCAAAAAAGCAACACTCTCATCAGTGTCACTGTTGTGTTTTTGGCTATTATGATTCCTTTATATTCTTCATATTTGTGTGAAAGAATTTCTTTTTCCTTCTCTGGAAAACAATATTGTTTATATGACTGGCTGTTCTCTGCAAACACCATAGTAGCTGAGTCGTTACTATCCTTCATTTCCTGTCTAGATTTTATGTTGTAATAGCTGAAGACTTCGCAATTTGCAAATAATGTCACCTGAAAAGATTCATGGGAGTCCTCCTCCAGAAGATTGACTTGATTTGTCCAAGAGCTGTTTACTATCCATAACCTCAAATTTCACCCACGCTGGAGCAGGTTAGGTGTGCATCTTAAGTTGCCATTGCAGTGTAGCAGAGCAAAAAGCAATCCACCATCGCAAGACAAAAAATCCAGGATTAGTTCAAACTAAGTTTAAATTTTGCTGGCTAAGCAAGACATCCTGCTTCATGAAACAAGCCCCTGGTTTCCTTGGAACAGATTAAGACCAGAAAGATTAGAGAACCATTATTCAACAAGTAGAAGTTCAGGACTGCACTTACTTTCACTGTGACACTTCTTAAAGGAGTACCGTGTAAGACCTTTTTATTGAAATTGAAAGTTAGGAGGAGAGAACATGCTTAAATATTTTGTTCATGCGCTGCTGCAGTTCACCAAAAGTCGTACATAATTTGAGTGTTTTTTGGACAACGTCATGTGCTTTACATATTAACGTCATAGGCATAGACTCAAAAAGGCAATCTGGGTAAATGTTTAAGTCTCAAATGCAAAATCAACATTATATTGATGAAGATATGATAAATAGATCACTTTATTAATCGCAGAGGGAAATTCTCCATTGCAGCAGTACAAAGCACAGTAAAGAGCAAACAAGAGCAAAATGAACAGGAGCAAAGTATCCCTGTATGATGACAATAATGGATCATTCACGTACATGCACCAAAAACACATCCTTCAAGTTTTGACTCTCTTTGAATAATGTACTCACGATCATCAGATTCATCCGCTTGTGGGATCCGAAGCACAACCAACGATACAAAGTGTTCCTCTGTCTGTTGCATCTAATTAGACGTTTCCTCAAGAGGGGTCTCCAGATTCCCATATCTTACATAGTGCAGCTTTAAGTTTGTTTATAATCCATCATATGATGCCAGTGATTATGAACATTGTTTATTTTCAACAGCTGTACCAGAGGCAGACCCACCTATTGACACCAACCTCATAGAGTTTGACACAAAGTAAGTTTGTGATCATTAACTGGTTTATGAAGAGCAGATTCTTCTAATTAATATTTGTTTACTGAAAAACAAAGATTGTCTTGTGTGAGTGTTCTCTCACTTATTGTGTCTTATCTATCTCTCTCTTTCTGATAGTAGCTTCACCCAGGATGATGACCTGGTGTTCGAAGACTTTGCCCGTTTGAGGTTAAAAGGAAACACTGATGATAAGGATGAGGACTGCTGAGGCTTCCCCTTTCCACTCGACCTAGAAACTCACAGCATCACAAAGACCACCAACTAATCCACTCAAACGAACAGTCTCTCATAATGAAACTTTTTCTTAGGCTTCATGACATCCTTTTGGTGAAGCAGTATTTTGCCAATACTTGACTGAATTGTTCAAAGGAAAAGAGGACTTTTAGAGACCATTTTCTACAGTTTAATGATGGGATGAAAATCTGAGGAAAGGTGCTAAATCAAGGAGTTTTGAACACAGGAGAAAAAAAAAACAACACAGAGAATTCATCCTATCATAAGCAGATTGTGAGCTTACGTGCTGCGTGTGCCAACCTTTAGTGGATAAAAGCAGGAAAGAGATTTGGAAAGATAATCCAAATTGAAAGAACCTATGCTATTTTGTTGTTCTGTGTGATCTTCTAGAGTTGATTTTGAAATGCCTTTTTAAGCTTAATTTTCATGTCTGTTAGTAACATTTAGTGATCACCAATTACAACTGAAATGTGCTGAACAACTGACCATATTGGGCATCCCAGGCAGAATATGGTTTCGCAAACCTCATCGCCCTTCATAACGTTTTACAAAGAAAGCCTTTGTAAGCAATTACGCATGGTTGAATACTAATATGACTTCTGTTTGTGTTATGGCATACTGTATCCAACACTCAGGTATACAGGCTCCTTCATTTTTCATTCGTTCATATCACTGCTGACATGGCGTGTGCTATAGTGGTGCTGTAAAGACCGTTGACGGCTGTGTGTGCGTTTGAAGGGTGTTTTTACATTGCCATTCAGCACCCTCTTGTGTAAATAAAAATGCTGCTTTTGGTGAAAACGAAAACTTCTGCCAGATGACTAGAGATTAATGTCTCGGATTAAAAAAATAAATATAGTCTCCATGTTAATACAAGTTTAATAATTGTGAAAAACATTGTTTTCCATTTACATTTTTTTTTTTTTGAATTTCAGAATTTATTTAATTTTTTAAATAAAATAAAAATGTCCAAGCAACGTCTCTCTCATTTAGTACAATATAATGTTTCAAGAGATGATTTTCATGACCTGAAAAGATTGTACAATCTTTGTACAATATAACTGACTTGGTCAAAGTACAGTGATTCTGGTCAAGGCATTTCTATAAAATCAAGGAGCTTTAGCACAGTGCACTGGATGCTAATTCTTTATAGACTGAATTTAAAAAAAAAAAAAAAACTGCATTCATTCATTCATTCTTCTTTGGCAGTGGCTGTTCAGTTGAATCTCTCTGGATGATTCGTGAGCCGTTGGAAGCTGCAAACATCTGACGATGAGACCCTCCAAAGTGATGCTTGTTCATTTGACCAGCAAAGCGATTCCATCTAGTGAGGAGGAATAACAAAGATCAAATCAACACCTGGGTCAGTGACCAGACGTTTAGTGTAGCGTATGTCTTTTCACTTTACGATGCAGTGACAGTTGTATGTAAAAAGTTTGGCTTCCCTGGTCACATTACATTTGTTAATTTTCTAAGTGAAAAGTTAAACACATCCTCTGCAGGGAACAAACTTCTGACTTTTAATACATAATTACTATTTATTAGCCAATTTTAACATATTTTTTTTTATGTTTTATATGTTTTTATATGTTATGTTAAACTCTGCAAACAAAAAACTGGTACACTGGTAAAATTAGCAGGAAAATGCCATATTTAGGCTTGTTGTCTGTATACTGTTAGTAATAAAGTTATGTGCAGGTACATTTTTCGTTCATCAAGGTACAAACAATGTAAATGTTCCCTCAAAGGTACAACAGTGGCTTTAAGGTCCAACTGTATACCTTAAATAAGCTTTTCACAGGTGAAAAGTGTATATATATATATATATATATATTATATTATATATAACCTAATTTTTTAAAACAGAACAGTAAAAAAGCTGAGACGGGGTGTGTGGAATCAATACTACTTAGAAAATGTAATTTAATGGATTATGGTACAGTTATGTTCCCTGACTAAAGGTACTGAGATGTACCCTTGAGGGCACCACCCCAGTGACTGTTTCATAACTTTATTTCTGAGAGTGTAGAGAGTTTGTTAACTTACATGTAATTTGACTGGGAGTGTTCAGACTTTTGCATGTGATTGTATTAAATTTAAAGCAAATACAACATGCATTTAAATATCCTATTTAAAACCTCAGGAAGCAATACATTTTTAAAGGGCCCATGTCCTAAAGTTTTCTTGTATATTATTTTCTCCTTGAGATACACTTACGATGTTTGTGTGGTTTATATAACAAAAATAGTTTCAGTTCATTTTTACATGGCCATTTTCCAACCTTTCTTTGTCCCTTAGAATTAAACAGACTGTTTTTGCTGCTCTGCCTTTAAGACGGATATGTGTCAAAGATCTTTGTTCTGATTGGCTGCCCTGTATTGTGCCTGATTCAAGCAGCAATCTGGGCTAAAAAATGGGCTGCTTTAGTTTCCAAATGTGGACTGTATGGACTGGGGAGTATATGGAATGCTTCTGCATATATTATAAAAAAAAGATTTTCAGTATAGTCTGCTTTATAAATCAAACACAAAATCAGCAATTTGGTATAATTTTAAAAGAGTTAGCTTTTTCTTCTAAGTCTAAAAAAAAATGGACATCAGTCCATGTAAATGAATCACTATATCACTGTATCAAAACCAATTTAATGACCAAGATGACTCAGTAGGACCAAATAATTAGGTTTAATTTTACAAGAAGTCATTACTCATTACTACTCAGTTCAATTCAACTCCTTGCTACCCAGTATGAAAGTACAATTCGTAATATTGATGCCTGAACAACAACAGACATACAACCTAGAACAGAATCAATTGAATCATAGTCATTTGAGTTGTTGGTGTTACTAGTTGTTACTATGTGTTTATCAATTATAATTATAACAAACTGCAAATAGCATTTCTGGTGGAAATAAGATTTGTCTGTTTTTTTTAATAATGTGTTACTATAAAGATCCATTACAGACACCTTAAACATTATACAAACAACCAAAAGTTGTCTCTGTAATCATTTCTTTTGTCTCCTTGATCAACTTTAGACATCATTGGTCAACCTTTGGTAAAATGAGAGAACTCAGCTCTACTTGTATTAAAGGGGACATAAATTAGGTATATTTGTGTTTATGGGATACTGATTTAAGTGTACATAGTTTATGTTAAATGTTATATTTAGTGGATATAAGATCATTTAAAAATATCTCCACACAGAAAGCAGATATTCACCTCTCTTGAGTGGCATTGTGCTTATTAAGGCGCTCTGCCTCCTCTCTCTTCTCCTCCAACCAGCGCTCAAGCAGCCCCTCTTTTTCTTGACGTGTGACTGCTAGCTCCTCCCTCAGTATCTTCTGCTCCAATCGCAATGCTGCCAACTCCTTTGACTGACACTCCAGTTTATACTGATAGTCTGACAGATCATCCTTTAGTGAGCACGCTTCTTTGGCCAGCAGAACGGCTTCGGTGCGGTAGCGGGCGACTCTGCAGCACCAAGAGAACGCATGGTAAAATAAAGACAGTCTGACTGACTAGAGTGAGAATTATTTCTGATCTGTGACTGGCTGCACTCACTGTGAGTGACAGTACTGCAGCTCCGCCTCCCTGAGGTACAGATCACTGGTCAGATCTGAGACTTTCTGTGCAAGCTGAAAGAAAGAATTAGTTAAATTATTTATCTTTCATCAATAATAATAAAATAACACGCACTACAGGTATTTCCACAAGATTTTTGAAATGAAAAGAAGTAAACACAACTTCTGCAGCAAATAATTAAAAAAATCTGCAGTTCTTAATGCAGTTACTTTTCATTTGATTAACTTAGTAATGAAATTGTATGATGTAATTGTAATTGTAAAATGTAATTGTCTCAAATGCAAAAGTTTGGACACACTACTAAGTCAGTATTTAGTAATGCCCCCTTCCCCCTTTATCCCCTAATATCAAAGCTTGCAAATGCCTTTTGGAGGCAGCTAGGATTCTTTCACAAGCTCTTCTAGTTCTCTGATTTTTTGGGGCTGTCTCATGTGCTCACGATCTACTTACAGATTTTAAATGATGTTTAAGTCAGGAAAAGTGAGGGCCATTCCAAAAATTTCAGCTTATGTTTCTTGAAGTAGTTCATGATGGATTTTGAGGTCCTTCTGGTTAATTTTCTGCTTCAGTTTCTTGACTGACAATCACATTTGCTGATATTTAGTGGAATCTATTCCATGGTTGTCAGTTTATCAAATATAAAAGTGACTGTGTATTAACATTTGTAGAAAAAAATATCTTTTCAATTTTTTGCATAGGTTGTGTTTACATCTTTTTACTTAAAAAATCAACAAAATGTCATTTGGCCAGGAGCTCTTATTATATAAGTATTATACAGCACTATAGAAATCTTATAGTATTATAACAATTCTTTTTGAATGTACAAATCAATAGAAACTACAGATGTCCAATCAATAAGGCTATGTTGAAATGCAGTTAAAATGCACTGCTAGGGTAGACCTAGGGTCTCAAACTCCAGTCCTGGAGGGTCAGTGTCAAGCACAGCTGGGCAATTTCTCCTCTTAAACACACCTTATTCAATTCTTTTGTCAATTACCAGGTTTACTGTTTGTCTATAAGCAGAAAAATCACTAAACTGTGCTGGACATCGGCCCTCCAGGTAGCGGGAGAAAAACCAAGGAAAATGAAGACTTGAAATTGGATTTGTTGTAGATTTTCATTATTTAAAGAAGATATATTAAATCTAATGTCCAACGAAGGAAAAACATACCTCTTGTCTAATATGCTCAGTCTCTTTGAACTGCAGATACAGCTTTGGAGAGTTTTTTCCCTCAACGGGCCTTTTTATTCCATCATCATTTGAACTGTAGCTGTAACATGTACACAAACTGTAACACAATCCAATTCATCTTTCAATTTAGGGAAAAAGATCACACAACAACAAAATGGCTCATAGCCTACCTTTGTCTCTCCAAGTCCTCCCATAAACTCAAATGGAGATTCAGCAGTTCTTCTAATCTGGACACTACAATTAGATTGAAAACATGATTACTGTGCAATTCTCAAATCTTTATCCATGACTTTTTTGTTTTACACATAAAGATAGATAAAACATTGCAAAGATAAACTATCACAGTCTAAATCCCATGTGTCAAACACAAGGCCTGTGAGCCAGATCAGGCCCGCGGCACAATCCTGTCCGGCCCACAAAATTATTTTGATTCTCTATTAATATTAGCTCATTTCACAGTGCGCTGCACTACAATCCCTAGAATGCACATCAGTGTAATTTGTGCCCCCCAAACCATTTTCCCCAACAACAATCTATGCAGTTACACCTCAGTTCAGTGCAATTCTACATAATTCTACACAATTCCACACCAGACATATCACAAAACACTCTAGATGCCTTTCAGCTAAAGGCTGACCACTACAAACACTCAGCTCAGCAGCTCAGAAATTGATCCCAAGAATGAATGAATGAACTTGCAGCAAAGAAAAAAATGCCAAGTGTCTAGATCAAGCACACAGGCAGGTTAAAGAGGTTTAAGAGTTATTTGTAGCTAATGTAGCCCATTGTTTATTATATACATATGGCTAATTCAGGTTATAGCAAAATGTTATTTTAAAATGAAATAAAAATATAGGCAGTCTCTAGCCCACGGCTTTGTTGAGATTTTTAATATGACCCTTTCAGTGGTTTCAAAGAGTTTGAGAGCCCTGGTCTAAATGAGCTAACAGCACAATTAAAAGAGTGTAACAGTGTCAATACTGTATCAAAAAAAGAAAAAAGAACATTCATTTAAGGTTTTATATGAGGTAGTTTAGAGTGCAGATTTTGCACTGTTTTATAAGACCACTATTTTGGACAAGCACTTTATCTTTTGTTTTGAAATAAAATTAATATTTATCTGTGCCGTCCCCATAGCTTATAATCAGAGCTTCGTAGAATCAATACTTTTTACACAATAACATTCAAAAACAAACTAAATATTGACCTTAGAATATAATATCGAATCAGAGCTAAAAATATGTATTGTTACACCCTTGCGTTAAACCCCTAACGTGCAGTTGCACAAAAAATATTTGCTACAAAAGTTGCGTTTTCTTGCAATATTTTTGCACTCGCAAACTTTTTGGGTTTCTTTGCAAAATTAATTGTATTTGCGAGGGACTGCAATTCCATTACCTTTTTTTTTTTTTACCACTGCCCCTTAGAGTTTCCGTGCTACGCAATTAAAAACAACAGGAGGGGGAAAAAAGCATAAATTAGCCCAAACAAAGGTATGTAATCTGGATTTAAAGACACCTGTCGAGCTTACATTCCGAACACTACTTCAGAATTCATGAGCTAATCATTAAAAGGATCATCATTTAGTGCCAACTGACCCCGTTTACTCAAACCTAGGCGTGGACAGCAGAAGAGCAGCTGACCTTTAGTGAAGAGTCCAGAGAAAGGGTCCTTCTGTAAGCAGTCCCTCTGAAACAGCTCGGCGCGCACGTGACTCTTCCACAGCTCCATAACTTCACCCAGTTCACGGGTCAGCGACTTTTCCTCAAACCCTCACTTCTCTACTCGTTTCCCTCAAAGGGAAATCCAACCGGGAGCGACCAAACTGACCTTATTATCCGAGTAAAAGCCCGAAAACCGAACAGGTTTGGCTGACAGAGCACACCGGACACATCACCTCTCCATCCTCTCTCCCTCCAGCAGCCGCTGAGAGATCAGCTCTCGCGTTTTCTTTAAGCGCAGATTGTCCCACTGGGCTTGCCGTCTGCGGGTTGATTTGAGAGTGCGTGTTGTTTTGTTTTGAGGTTTGTTTAGTAATAGCGATTAAAAAAACCTAAATAACCCGATTTTATTCCGTCCTTAAGTAGATGTAAGATGTAAGGTGACTTTCATTGGGTTGTTGCTATCTGTGGTCCGCTAATACTGTCTGTAAATGATTCAGCAGTTACATTCTGACGCCTCATGCAGGGGTTTGCTAATCGTGTTGGTTGGTTCGCCTACAGATGCAGTAAAAGTCTGAAAAATGGCAAACGACAGGCTGCGAGCTCTTGAGGACGTGGAGAAGGAGATCGCCGTCGTTCTTCAGTGTGCAGGTCTGTGTCTCCACACTCAGCTCCTTGTCTGAGTTAGCTGGCTGCCTACTGACTAACAGTGCAGCGGATTTTAGCTAATGTTAGCTGTTAATGGGCCCGTATCCGTCATTTTTCTTCTATTTTACCCCCCATGTACGTCCTCGTATCAATTTAGTGATCATAATTGTTTACATAACCACTTTCCAACCTGTCTGTGTCCCATAGAGTTAGACAGTCCGTCTCTGTTGCTGTGCCTTTAAACTATATTTGTATATGATATATCATATACATACATATATGTAAATTAGTTCAGTTCTGATTGGTTGCCCTGTATTGTGCCTCCTTAAAAAAGCAGTCCGGGCTGAAACACTCCTTATAACTTCAACATGTATAGGTGGACATGCTTTCATGACGTCACAAAAACAATACATTTTTTCGGGATGATTTAGAGCTTAGTTTCCACATATAAACTGACGAATGAAGTGATATGTTTTGAAGCTTTTTAAGAATGTTTGTACACTTCATTAAGCTATTGTATTTAAAAGAAAAGTGAGGACAGGGTGGCAGGCTTTGAACTACTTAACTTGTGCCTTGAGAAAAGAAGATCTTTGGGCTGTGGATGAGCACGAGTTTGAAATAATATATTTTGAATAAATAGTTTATTTTGATGAACTCAAGCTTGAAATAATTTGGTTTCTTTAACCCAGTGGCCCCTTATAAAACATCAACCCAAACGTTTTGTGTTTTACACTGTTAAATGTAAGCACTTTGCCATTATTTTCAGGCAGTAGTATTTTACATTGATGTTTATTTTTTGCTGCATGGCTGATTTATGATTTCTCCCTCTTTCAGGAACCATCATCCTGGAGCTGTCAAAAGAGAAGCACAACGCAAGCTTGTTAGACCGGCAGCTCAACCAGTTCCAGACCTCTATAAACAGAGTGGAGAGTGAGCTCAGCTCCCAGATCCGCTATCTTACACAGGTCGGCATTCTGACTGATTCACATGGATTCTTAAAAGTATTTGAGAGTAGTACTAGGTAGTAGATGGTATTAATTAAATTCAAAATCACAAAATTTTGCAAATATCATGATGTTAGATTGTGATCTTTAAAACCATGCTTCCTGACTGCTGCTGCTTTAAACTAAAAGGATGTCTCAAAGTGGATAAACCTGTTTAGATTTGGCTGTTTTAATTATATTTTCTTCTTATAAAATAACATCAAAATCAACATCAGCTGGACAGAAAACACATTTCTTGAAAGAAAACATTCTATTCCTATAGATTTTAATACCCCACTCTGTGCAAAATGTCCATAAGAACAGAATTTAATGATGTTCAAATCATTTAAACCTTATATTTAAATATTATATATTATTATTATTTATAATATATTTGAAATAGTACAAAGACAACATATCAAGTTGAAACTGTGAAGTTTTATTTTTTTTTTTTGAAAAATATGTTTTGAATTTGATGCCAGAAACACATTTCAAAAAGGTTTGGGACAGAGGTATGTTTACCACTGTGTTGCATCACCTATTAACATCACTCTGTAAGTGTTTGGGAACTGAGGAGACCAGTTGATGTAGTTTTGAAAGTGAAATGTCTTGTGTGATGTAGGATTTCAGCTGCGGAATTGTTCATGGGTGAATATTGTCCTGCTCTGAATTAATTCTCCATACCAGCTACATGTGTACTTGTTGACCCCCCTGCCTTCGTGGTCAAAGGAAATGATGCATTTAAAAAAACTTGCATGTCATAAAGGAATTTAACACCTCTGTGTGATATTAGCGGTGATTTCGGGTTGTGTGACAAGAGGCAGCAATCCTCCACGGCTGCAGTGTGTTGACTTTCCATTCTCTTTTCCATTCGAGAAAAGGTGGCAACAGGACAACCTCACGAAGGCTCAACGTACTCGGCGAGGAAGGACTGCCAGATGGCCCTGAACCGTGCAGAATATGCCCGCGTCAAACTGGGAGAACTGGGACGCACCTGCGAGTTAATGCTTGATCCACAGACATGATGTACTGCTACTGTTTAACATAAAACTTTGATAGTATTTCATGAACCACATTTCATCAGGGTACAAAACAGTCCCTTGAGAAACAAGACCTCATCAAAAGACATTCTCATGTAACTGAAGTCCAAAGAAATTCCAGTAGGAATATCTCTGACCTCTTAAAGGTTGGCTACAAGAGAAATAGACTGTTAGATAAGAAACAAACTACTACTGTTGTACAAAACCCAACTGAGGTTTAGCTCTTTCTGGTTGAAGGTTTTTTTTTTTGCTACATTGTACAAAATTGACATGAGTTTAATTACTGCTTTTTTTTTTTAACAAATAATAAAAAGTGAGAAGTAGTGAAACAATGAGCCTTTTATTTCCACTTGACATGTTATTTAAAAGGACATTTCACATTTCCATCACATACCCTTCACACATAGCACTTTCATAGTGCAACAGCAACCACATCAAGTAAATGAACGAATGAGGAATTCAAGGTAAATAAGTTAACAATAAAATAGAAATAACTCAACATAAAAAGAACAGTGTATTGAGTAGCATATTAAATACATTAAAATAAATGACTATTAAATAAGCATGATGCCAGATTGTTCCGTTTTTCTTTTTTTATGATGCCACAGGATACGTTAAATGTCAGCTGCTTTTATTTTGGTCCACTCAGTTTGACTTTCATTCTATACTTTCCGCTTTTACTGGGTGTTTTGTTAAAACATATCCTCTCAGACTAGTGGTTTTTCAGTTTAAAAGGATCTTCACATACATGTGTATAAACAATCATTAATACTTGATAAACAGTTCATTGATTTGCAAGATTAATTAGTCTCTATTTATCTATATATGTCCCAAATAAAGTTTCTTAAAAGGGGAAGCTTGAACTGCTACAGGAGTCACTCCAATATAATGAATAATGCTAATCCACAGGTTGTCACACAAGCCACCTACAAATAAATAATGCTTGGAAGATTTTGGGAACTGCTTTTAATCTGTTCAACTTATGTCACCAAATACTCTTGACGTTTGTTCAGGCGAACCTGGCATAGAGACACAGCACCAACTCCAACATAGATGGCCGCAGCAATGAAACAGTTGATGCCCACTTGATTGTACAGTGAATAGATGTTCTGGGGTGGGCTTTTGCTGTGGAAATGAAGAAAACACAAACAAAAATCTTAGAATTGTGGTACAGCACCGGCACTGTGGTGACATTAAAGGTACTTCAACCATCATTAAGATGTAAATGAAGTTACTTGGATTCTAGACACTTTCTATGTTAGAATTGTTGACTATAGGAAGTCAACAAGAAATCAAAATTGAACATTATTCCTTATTATGTCCTGATTATATTAACCCTCTATTGCAGGAATTATTACTTAAACATGTTAATGTTTTAATGTGTTGTTACTAAGAATTGCTTAAATAATGGAAATATTTGAGAAAAGAAAAATAAGTGGGGTATTTGGTAAAATGTGCAATTGTACCATAGCACCATAAAATCTAGCACCAAAAAATCTAAATTTTCTCTACAAAAATTATTTTATTGAGAACAAGCCCAAACAAATCCAGTACTTAGTGAAATGTACAACTCAATATTTACACATATTCAAAATGAATATAATTTCAATTGGTATTTGGAATATAGGGTAATAACAACACATGATAAGAATTCCTGGTCATGTGATGTCATTAAGTATTTATCCTTTTAAAGTAAAAGACCCATTTTCCACAATTAAATATGGAAACAGATTTTATATTATTAATTTTTGGTAAATTTTTAGATAAAGTCATTGCTGCCATATGGCAACACCATGTAATGATGCAAATCTGGAAAATCGGTGGAATTTTCCTTTAAAAGACCCGTGTTTCTTTGCAGTCACGTTAGAAATCTTATGTTGATTCAGCATCTTAATGGTGTGCTAAAACGTACACTGGATTTAGAGTGAAGGAGACCCATAAGGGTTTGCATCATGGAGAAAACAAACTCACTCATTACGGATGTCTTCCTCGGTGAAGGGAACATCCTCGATCAGCACAGCTGATTTTGAACAGAAGAAGATCCCCAACATCGCCTACGCAAATAACAAAGAGGAAAAACATGCAGAACCTGTTACAAACGAGCCCATTACATCTTTTCCTCATTGCATTATTTATGCAATTATAATACAATAAAGCTACAATAAAGACGAGTATCAAATATCAGCGTTCACCAGGGCGCAGCGGTTGGCTGGGTAGCTGGCTTGACAATTAGCTACAGTGCTGCAGTCAACCTAACATTGTGCACATATTAAACACGATATTAATGTGCTAGAATTACATGACCTAGATGGCTAGGTAGCTTTGAGCGCCAAAATTTGCAAGGCATGCCGATGGCGAATGACAATTCATTCTGTCAGGTAATAAACTAACATTAGTGTTAGCCACTATTTCTGTTAGCATTAGCTTACTATCTAGATAGCTAGCAATGTCACGAAGAACACAGAGGCTTACCAGCATTATAACTCCCCATATGCTCAGCACAATGCCACAGGCGGCCAGTTTGGGGCCACAAAATAACAGAGACGGCATTGTCTTGAAATTGCTGAACCCAGAAAAACGACACTACTTCAGAAATGTCTATCAGTCACCATCCGCGTCCAACAAATTCACGAAAATGGTCGCAAGCTGCTTCGGCTATCGTCGGCTTGGTTCGTCTGCTTTCGTCTGATGCTCCTCAGGACAGGAGCCAATCACAAGCGCCGAATCTTCCCTCGCGGTGCATTCCGGGGTTTCAGTTCTTAGCATAGTTAGCAGCTTCGCTAACTGTTTATGAAAAATAAATTCATTTTGCAAGAGAAAAAGTATCATACTTGCAGGATTAACCTAGTTTGACTTAGTGTAATAAGTCGGTGCGCTGTCTGCAATAATACCAGAGTTCACGCAGTGGTTATTTGGCAACTGGGGTTACGTTAGGGAGACATAAGCTAAGCTAACTCAGTAGGGCATTTTTGTTTTGGTGCGATCTCAGTTATCTTAGCGCTCGGTAGAACTGCAGAATGACTTCGGCTTCCACTAAGGTAAGAAGACATGATGCTGTTTCTGACAAATGGCTTATGATTGCTTTACGCTTGGTAAATAACTTCAAATGCATGTGTTCAATAGGTGGGCGAAATCTTCTCGGCGGCAGGCGCTGCTTTCAGTAAACTGGGTGAGCTTACCATGCAGCTGCATCCTGTAGCCGATTCGTCTCCTGCAGGGTAAGAGGAGATTTATCACCTTTAAAATAAGGGTGGAACAATTACAATACAGAATCAAAGAATCGGAAAAATCACGTATGAAAAAAGTATATCGAAATTTATACCTGTATTGCCGAAATTCCCCTCAGTCTCTTCCAAGGGTCTCTTGGAGGAAACCACAAAACGTGAAACATTGCAAAACAAATTGTAACTTGTAGTTAATGTTTAGCCTATGTTTTGCACACATTTTAATTGTGCTTTTGTGACATTTAGGTTATATATTTCGGTGTAGAGTTGGGCAATTCGGCAAAAAATGTAATATCACAATACTTAAATAAGTTTTTCACGACAGACAGTATGTCACAATATATATTTTTTCTGACATAAGCTGGAGCACACAAAGTAGTACAACATCTAAAAAATACTGGTGATAACCATGAGTCAATTTAATTGTATTTAGTTTTTACATGTTATGCTACATTACATCCGATTAAACACGACTACGCTCTTTTTTGATCAAATAAGCAGTTGGAAAGTGTTTTTAAATACTGAATGTACAGTATACTTGGCAAAGCGTACTGTCACATGCTGTGATGTCATTCATCATGATAATGATAAAAGTCATATTGCTCAGCTCTATTTAAGAGTTGAGAGGTGGAAAATGGAGACGTTCTGTTTAAGTTTTTATTTGAGGCAGGCCAGAATGTGTGCTGTTTATAACACGGTCGCACAGTTTTGTAAAATGATTATTTTGCACAATGACATGTTACTGAAATAAAATGGGTGTGTTTCTCAGGCAAATTAATTTGTATAGTATGTAGAGACTCTTTTAACACAAAATATGGAAAATTGTTTAGAACATAAACAATATATGTATCATTATAACCGTATTTGTAAACCATTGTAAATCTTCATAAATACAATATAAGTATAGTTATATTAATAGCCTTACTAGGAACCCTAGTGGTATTCACAGGTTTTCATGATCATTTTTTCACATATGATTTCTTGTTTTAACTGTAAGCGTGAATCATCATGAATCATGAATCATACAGATGTACTGGTGATTTGTACATTATATCTTTGGGGTGGGGTTGAGGGATAATTATTTGTTTAAAGTATTGGATTTATGAGTGAAACATTTACTTGATCATCCTCCTGCAAATATATACTGCACTGTGTTTTGGTGGGTAAGACTTGGACTGCTGGTCAGTGTAGTTTGATTGATGGTTCCCTCCCTTCTCCTCCACTTTCCTCTCTAGGGCCAAATGGACAGAGACTGAAATTGAGATGCTGCGGTCTGCTGTGAGGCGCTTTGGGGACGATTTAAACAACATCAGTTCAGTCATTAAGGAACGCACAGTGTAAGTTTTTATGTTATGTTTTGCTGTTGTCAACTGCATTTGTCTGTAAATGGTTTAAAAAAACAATCGTACCCACTTTACATGCTCTATATGTCTACAAATATCATGCACCCATTGCTGACAGCGTTCAGTTGTGTACACAGGTTGTATAGTCTCTATAGAAAGCATTTACCAATAGAATAGAACACTCTAGAGCGTCCTTGCATGAGCCAAAGGTCACTATGCCCAATGCATAGTGGAACTGCATTCTCTAAGGTGATGGAGCTCCATGCGTACCTTTGGGATGAGTTGGAGTGGCATTTGTGATCCAGACCTAATCATCCTCACTGACCTCACTGATGCTCTTGTTGCTAAATGCTATCAAATCCTCACAGCAGTATTCCACCATCTAGTGTAAAGCTTTCCCAGAGGAGTAGAGGCTGTTACGGCAGCAAAGGGGGGCAGCCTCCTTATTATTACCCTTAATATTGGAATAAATGCTGGATTAACAGGTGTTTACAAACTGTTGGACATAAAGTGTATCTGGATAAATAGTATAATTCATCATACAGTATTGTCTCTGTTGAAAGTATCATTTGTCAAACAGAACAGAAACCACATTCACCCATTTAATCATTTAAAAAAATCTCTTGCTAAACTAACAATGCTTTGTAAATAATTCTCCATCTTGTCTCTTTCTCTTGCTTCTCTTGTCTGTCCACAGTGCTCAGATTAAGAGCACAGTGAAGAGGAAGCTGTATGAGGACAACCGGGTCCCCCTCTCACTAGAGCCTCCCAAAAAAACTATGAAGAAAACAACTGTGGTGGCAACTCCAGCACCGATGGCACCAACCATCATTTCAGTTCCAACCTCACAAGTTGTTGTACAACAAGGATTGCAAAGTGCTTCTGCGTTGCCACCCACGATTAAAAAAGCAAAAACTGCTGGTAACTACTGTGTGAAATAACTCAATAACATTATTTGAATTAAAGCGTGTTCATTACATGCTAATTAATCAGTTATTGTGGTGTTCCTCTGCTCCAGATGTTACCCTCAGCGCGCTCAATGACTCGGATGTCAACAGTGACTTGGTGGCTATTGAAGGACTTGGAGAGGGTTCTACCAAGAAGCCCAACTTTGATCAGGGTAAGAGTAGGTCCACTGCCCACTACTAGGCCATGGAATTTTCCAATGATTGAATGTTACTGAATAGTGTTGGATGGTATTGTTACAGTTCAGTATCACAATATTTTCCAACACATAATGGTATCAGACATCATTTGAGTTACTATTAAGAGAGTTAATAAATTCATGCTTCCTAAGTAGTACTACTCTGTACTTAACGAATGCCTTACAAACCTGACATAGCTTGTTTTGATTTAACTAATTTGTTCACTGAAGGGAACCTTATTATAAATGGTCTCAGTGAAGAGCACAGTATTACAGTTGTTATTTAGACTCAAGCCATATTTACGGAAAAGAAACTTTATTCTATTTTTTCTGCTTTGATGTATTATGAACTGGTATTTCAAAACATTTTAAAGTGTAGGATATAGAAATTAAAAAACTCTTGGCCACAGAAACGCTTGCATTTTGTGGGCATTAGAATGGGTGTGATGCTCATTATAGATCAAATATATCACTAAAATGTTGTTGCAAATAAAAAGCAATATCACAGTCTGTCAGTGTCATGGCACAGCAGAACAGACAACCTTGGTAGATAGATGGAACCTCTTGCTTCCATTCACTTCTGGTGTTTGGACTGAATGCATTAAATATGAAGTTTTAGCTAGCGTTTAGCAAGAACAAGTGGATGTGGTACAGTCTATGTGATTGGTGGTGTTAATCATTTAAAGAAAGTTTCTTTGACAGCAGTAAATCATGCTTTGTGTGGTGTTGCTTGAGAGTTATGAATAGGGTTGTTATTGTTATGGGTTAAGTTTCTTTAACTTAAGCATATCCATACAAATAGTATGTGCAAGCATTTATTTTCAATTTTAAACATTGTTTCTTGGAAATATTTGACACTTTTTATGTTTTTCTTTCAGAGAGTCTCAGCTTGGATTCCAGTCTTATAATGAACTCTGGTGATCTGCCTCTACTTTCAAGATGAGTGCCATTTATGAGTGATTGACAGTTCATACTATGTAAGATCAGCAGTGCATGTGGATGTACAGACATATATTTGCTGTGCTATTAGTGAGACTCTGGCCAGTTCATGTCTACCGAAAGTTGATGCAAATACGTTACCTGGAATTCAGTGCAGTGACAGCACAGCTAGTCTCACATGCCTAGTTTTACATTTTTGTCAGTTATTCTTTGAGGTAGTTCACTCAGCTAGATCAATGAAGTTCATTCAGAAGGCAGGTTACATTCCTGCTGGGCAACTTAATGAGAAATCTAGCTCTCTTGCTTTGTGAAACGTCCCCAGACGCTCTAGTGTAAGATACTGCAGTTTTGCTTTTGTATTATATTTTTTAATAATCTTTATTTTTTGCAGAAAATTGTGACTGTGTATATATAGTGTTCACATACAGGTTTTACCTTGCTATAATTTGCTGTCAGATGTACATAGTAATGTGGTGACTTTATCTTTTTCCGTGATGCACACAGGTGAAACGACCTGTTGCATCTTGCTTCTGTGTAATGATAACCTTTATGATAAGGAGCTTTTGGAGAAAGTGGACACTGACCTGTAGCCTGTCATCAAATAAAAACCCATTTGTTAAATACAGTATTATTTTATTGTCATGATCATCTTTATATACATTGTAATATACATATTCAAATGTGAACAGCACTTCTTAATCTACTAGAAATGAGCCTTTACCTGGTACAGTATGTGATATTCAGAGGGAATGAATATACCTTTATCTTTTTGCTTTATATTACAGTTCCATAAAAAATACATTATCTTCCTCTTTTCTTTGTGGCAACTGAAACATATTTACATCTCGAACACGAGAGGCAAGAGCCACGGTCTGTCATTTTGTAGAATGCTCCATGCTCAAGGCTTCCCAACTGATATCGCAGACGACTTTATAACAATCAAAGATCATTTTAAAACTCTTCCCTTCTTCCTTTTTACAGAATACTTGTGGCTCTTGGGAACATTCTCTCATTTAAGTGAGAGCAAAAAAAGACAAAAATGTACAAGCCTAAAACAAACCAAACAAACAATATTTTGACTTTTTCCAGATTATGCCTGAACTTGAACCCAAAAATTACTAGAGGACACTTTCACAGAACAAAATTGTGACCGTGGGTTTCTTTGGGAAATGACCTTAAACGTAAATCTGTCTTATTCTGTGGTGTATTTAAATCTATATTGCACATTCCTTTCGAAGACCCAACATAGATAACCATTGGCATTAATCTTGGATAAATCAAACAAAACATACAACTGGAGACTGCAAGTGATAATGTGCAAGTATCTTTGGAATTACTTAACAAGGCATTTCATTGTACCAGCAATAAAGCTCAAAAAAATGAAAGTAAAAATAAAGGCAATTACATTTTAAAATATAATTGAAAAAAAAAAAAAATCCTTCGTTTCTTTTGCAAACTGAAATAGAAGATGATGGACTCTGCACACATATCTTAACATCATAATTAAGCCTGTCAAGCTTGTCTGAATCACAAGACCAAAATTTTTGACTCACGTTCCGATACGAATGAAGAGCACTGTATGCGGTGCGTGACCAGAGCCACAATAGTCTTATTCCTACTGGAAGATTGCTCTGTAAGTATTAAAGCGCATGTCCATAATGTCTGCGTTCAACAATACTGTACATCACACTCTCAAAGAAACCAACTAGACAACAAAACATGTAAATATGATCCCACTCATGTAACAGCAATAGTGATTAACTGATAATGTCTACCACTGTGCAAACAAAATAAACAATGATATTCAACAAATTCAACCATGACATTTTATGCATGAAGGAGAGTTTTATCATACATTCTTTACACAGACAGCCTCCTGCATACAGCTTTTCATTGTTTTTACACAGTTTACAAGCTAAGGGTCACAAGGGCGTCGCTACATAAACGCGGCATTCAAATACATATGGCAAATGCTGGTAAATGCTTTTGGCTTTCATTTGGTGCAAAATTCTCTGGTCACATGTTTATTCTTAAAGTGGAATATTTGAGCAAAGTGCTATATTCATCCTCCATAATGGTGCCCATATAAAATCAGCTGAACAACGAGCTGACCCAGGCTATAGAACAGGCTAATGTTCTGGTGTTCCATACAGTGCCAGTCCACTAAAGGGTCCTTTTCATGTTGTTTTTTTTTAATGAAAACTTACTTATCATAAAACATAAAAAGGACATTTCAGAACATAAAAAAATAAAAAAAACATTTACCTATATATATATATATATATATATATATATATATATATATATATATATATATACATACTGAGCATACACATTAACAGCGTTGTGGCCTAAACAGCCCACTGATTTCCGAGTCTTTCTAGCTAGCTGTCTAACATTCTGCATAATAATTACATTTCGGAAGACCTCTTTGGACCACATCAATGGTTGCAGACTTTAAGAAAATGTGTTGTGCCAATGCTTAAAAATAAAGCAAAAGAAGGCAAAACATGTCTTGTTGTCTATTTGCATGCTCATAATAGGCAAAAGAAACCTTATGTGTCAAGGATAAGTAGTTTGAAATCACTAAAACACTCATATGAATGTGACTGCCACGTGTAAATCCTGAACTTATTTCACAAATGCAAGGAGACTCTGTGAAAAAGCCACAGACTGCCTTGGTGCAAATGAACTATTAACAGGTTATATGATACTGGATGATACAGTGCCATTCCTGACACTGACGTTTAAATCTTCCGTCTTCTGCTCTTCTTCAATTATACTACAACTGGCTTTCTTTATTTCAAAGTCCTCTCAGATACATTTTCTTCAGAAACTGCGGAGTACACTCCTCTTAAAGCACCACGTAGATGGAGAGCTGATCTTAACACAATAGTTACTCAATAGAGCTCTGGAAGCTTGATAAGCAATGAGGACAGAGACATTGTTCTTACTCCAGCCCAACTGATTTCAGTCCCCAGTTCAAGATCCAAACAGGCAAAGATGGCCTTGAAGATGCTGAGTGGGATGGTCTAGATGCCGGGGTGATGGGAGGTGAAGGGTGGTGGAGGGGAAAGTGAAAGAGGGCTGTTCTGAGGGCTTGAACAGATGGTCACAGCTCCTGAGGGAGAGTCCACAGACTGGGAAACACTAAAGAGCAAAGAGAAAAATAGAACATTTAGTTTTATTTCGATCTAATCTCTATATGATGCATCTCTACCACAGACAATTATATTAGCATATTTCTTTCTTAGTGAAAGAACAGAAAACCTGGTGATTTAAGTCAACTGCCCTTTGACTCTTATTGTAAGTATGTTTTGAGTCAATGGGTTTTCTGTTCTACAGGCAAAACAGGGAACATTATTAGCCAGCAATTACTGGCCATGGTAATCAACTATACAATACAAATGCAGCAGACAGAGATAAAAAGTTGAAAAAGATAAGGTTGAGCCTCACCTGACAGTACAGCTAGTTATGTGGGCAGATTCTGTAACTCCGGCAACAAAGAGTTTTTTAGGTGGGCCGTCGGATTCCACTCCACCTGAGTGGAAGGTTGAAAGTGAACAATGTAAAAACTTTATAATATTTAACATTAATAAAGAGATTCTATGATAAATTTGGTACAATTTCTAATATAGCTACCTTCACATACAGTCGTATTCAAAAGTTTGAACACCTCTGGTCAAACTACATATTTGTTAACATAAATTAACACATTAACATAAGCAACATAAAAACAAGTTAAAAGATCTTCTACGGGTAACAATCTTAAATATGCCACTGTTCCTGAACATCTTAGTTTAACAACTTAAAAAATATATATAACTTTTTAACAGGTCACAATTAAGGTTTATTTCCCAATAAGCTAAACTCAGCAAATGAACTGTAATTGTATTGTATATTTAAAAAAGTTTCAAGTGGAAATTTCACAAAAACCACAGTAATTCAGAGTACAGTCTTACCTTTTCTTTTCAAAGGTGCAACCACAGGCCATCTCACAGCAGGACTCACTGATCCCCTATCAGAAATGTGTTATTAGAATCACTTTTAACTTGTTTTACTAAAGCATGGTAATACTGTAATGCTTTCAGCTGTGAGGATCAAGCCTGTTCTGGTTCTGTGAATCATTATAATTAGTTGTAGTGATTCACAGAACCAGAAGAGGCTTGATACTCACAGCTGAAAGCAGTACAGTATTACCATGCTTTACCCTAATAAGTACATTTAACTATGTGTCAGATACAGTAATTAACTGGTTTCTAGGTTTCTAGTCCAATGAGACTTACCCCCGGAACCTTCTTGTTGGACTGGGTGAAGAATTAGGGGTGACACCAGAGTCCTGGGAATGGAATCCCTGAGGCGAAGAAGGCGGCAGAGAGAAATAGAGTTTTATCATCGAACGTTTTCAAGCACAGAAATTTTTTTAGTTTTGCTCAAAACACAAAATCGGCAACCGGCCAATTGAATGTTTTATTTTGGCAGATGTGTGTTGCAATTTCATGAGGTAAATAACAAGAGGCAAGTTAGTGCACTCACGATGTATCTGAATGCTGCTGCTACACCTGTACCAAAAAGTTGTATCATATTTATGCATGACTCGTTGTGCTAAATAGCTAGTTACTTACCTTCGATATAGCACTTTGCTTGATTCATGTAATTTAAATAGGGAACAAATTTAAAGTTGCAAATTTTAAAATGCCAGTTTGGACCACTGAAGAACAAATAATGTTATGTACATTGCAAGTTTGGCTAACAGAAATTACTGGAAATGTGCTAGTGTTTTTCAAGTGTTCATTTACCCCACACAGCATGAGCTTCGGAATGAAAAAAAGGCTATTAAAAATCATCACTTTAGCCATACAGGCATCAGTATCAGAATCGACCTAAAAAATTATTATCAGTTCTTCTCTTAGGTGTGCCAAACTTAACATTAAAACAAAATTGAAACTAAAGAAATACAAAAATAACAAACAGAGATTATTTGAAGCTGAGCAAATTAGAGCACAACACTGTACTCACTGGTGAAAGATGCTCATGCCAATGACTTGCAGGAGGTAAGGGGACTGCACCTGAGGCACTATAAGGAAAAAGCTGGGATTAATAAAATATACTGTTCTGGGCATAAAGTAACATTAAGCCTCTGCATCTATGGACGTACACAGTTACCTTAGTCTCTGTAAACTCCCTCTGAGTGTGAGTTCCATATTCTCCATCTATGGATAAAACCATTGGTGCAATTAGTGCCAGTGCAATCAAGACTGTGTTCTCTAAACAGGACTCATTTAAAATGCACCTAAATATTAACGCACCTCTAGAAATGATGAGACACCGGAAACCAAAAACAAATTAAATAACCCTGACAAGCAGCAACACTTCTGTTCAATACTGAAGACTTCACTCACCTGCCGCCTGTGGTCAGGCCTCTCGCCGGACAAGGAGAATGGGGAAAGAGGGAGGGTCTATAACAAAAAACAATGACATTCACTTTGCAGATGAACATCATCACAACGGCTCACTTCAACGCCTAGAATACAGATAACCAGCCACTTACCCTGGAGGGGCAGCTTGGGTTTACAGACACGCTGCTCCGCCGATAGCGGGCCGAGCTGTTAGAGCTGAACACAGTCATCCCATCACTGTCAAAAGTGAAGTAAAACATAAATCAGTACACTTTCTAAGATTAGGCAATATATATCCAAACTCTGCACATTTTAGTGATCCTCCTTCTCTAACACAGCTGGTTCAACTCAGGAAAGGCTTGTTAACTAGTTAATGAGTTTAATAACACTAAAATGTGCATCATGAGTACTCAAGAGCAGAATGGAGAAACACTGCAATATGAGAATGGAGTGTAGTGTGTATAAATACTAAAGGCGAACAGTATTGTAAAAAATTATATATGAAAAACTGTAACGAAATTTAAACTGTATCGCCAATATGCCCCTTGGTTTCTCTGAGGGTCTCTCTGACTGCTTTCATGGAAATGTGAACAATTTGAAACAGTAACCTGTCGTTAATGCTAAGCATATATTTTTAACATATTTGACCGTACTTTTGTGACATGATGGTGGTGCTGAAAATTAAGACTACATATGGTGTATTACATTAAGACTATATAACAGGAGTACATCAATGACATTGTTATACAGCAGTCCAAACCTGTGACAATGTGCACTGTGGAGAGTGGACATTCCATTAATTATGCCATCTAATGCAAATGCATTACACCAAACACCAAAGTTTGCAGACAATCAGCACCAACCAACAGCTCACTTCAGCACCCCAAAAGCCTCCCGGCTCTAGTGTGGTTAGTAAGTTGTGCAGAAAAATGACTATAGACATAAATCTTGTTCACTAAATTTTATTCATAATATAATGAGAATACGAAATCACTAACCCAGTGTCATGAATCAAATCCGACTGCAATCTGAGTGTACAGTCCCATGCAAATGTTTGAACTCCCTAAATGAAATGACGTTTCATTGATTTTTTCAGTGAAAATAAGTTAATGTTTCCTCTACAAGGAACAAGTTCTTTTTCGCATACCATATTTTGTTCTTGTTTTTTTTTCAAATAAGTTAAATTCAGCACATAAAGTGTAATTGTGCAATTAAAAGTGCACAAATATCAACAGAACTTTGAATTTGACCAGGGCCGCCCAAACTTTTGTATACGGCTGTGTCATTACATCTTTATTATACAATGCTACAGAAGGCTGTATATGTGCACTATTTTATAAAAGTACTACTTCACACAAGAACATGTTACTTTGCAGACTTTGAAATATTATCAGCATTTTTTTCTAGCCAAAGCAATCTGTGCAGTATGTAATTAGAGCTCTGTAGATACATACGTATGTTTTCCGAATCGGAAATCGTTTTGAACCTGAAAATGTATGAAACCTTATACAGATTAACGCGCACAGTTGATGGTCAAGGGCAGTTGCAGATGTAGTTCTCTCACCTGACGTTGGTGATCATCGGGGCGCTGTTTGACCGCCGCAGCGCGCCGCCTCCACCAGCTGCGCCTGCGCACTGGTCCACCTCCATCCTCTCCATGGCTCTTCAGCGAAGCGGAGTGTGGTTGGTAGAGGCGGCCGGGCCGAGCGCGCTCTACCGCGGCTTGAGCCCTTAACCGAACGCGGCGAAAGCCTGACCAGCAGGCCGCACGCCAAACTGTTCGAGCCAATGCAAAGCCGCCTCGATAAACGAGCGGGATTTATATCCCGGGGTCTCCGCACTGTCGCATTTTAGTTCGAAGTGAAGAGTTTTGAAGGCGGGACACAGTTTTTAACAGAAGCCCCCCTCGTTAACTTACAGGCTGCTGAAGTTACGGAGCAGCTCCGACAGGTTTAATGTTGAGAGCCGCCAGCAGACACTGGCTGGAACTAGTTCTGTCACTTTGGGCTGCCAGCAAACTTTTCTGTCAACTCTTCACATCACATTTAATACAAACGGAAACCAACAAAAAGCTGCTAATTCCGAAATGTAGCAGATTTTGGGGACAGTCGAGGTTGGCTAGTTAGCTGCCTAGCTATTTTCCAAGTTTACCTGCTACTTTGTAAACCAGCCGAATAAAGCCGTTACGCGCTCCATGAGAAAAATCCTCAGCAGTAAGTTGTCCAGGTGGATGCATTCTTCTTTCAGAGAACGCGAGGTTCGCTTTTCAAAGCGCTTGTGGGATTCAAGCTAGTCGAGAAGTTTCTCAGTCTTTCATTAATTTAGAAAATAAAAAATATTACCCGCAACCAAATAGTGATGGTCTTTCTCCTTGAACAACAGCACCCCGGTCTGGCCGTGGAGGGAACTACAGGCTGAACTGAGTGCAATGGACACCTTTGATCTTCGAGCCGTGTTCCTCCATTGGGTCTTTCATCATGTTGCTTTTCTGCTTTATATGACTTCACATTTTACTGAGCAAGCCGTCTGATTCTCTGCGTTACGTCTAAAGCAAATAACGTCTAAAAAAGAAGGAGAAGAAATTTTTGTTTCTGGCAGCAGTATGTAAAAATTGACTTGTTTTCTCAAAATATTGAGTCATCAAAATAATGTCTTTATTTCTTTATTTCTCTTAATTTTGACTCAATATCTCAAATTTGTGTCTTTTTTTCTCCAAAATATGTCTTTAAATTTTATTTCAAAATTTGACTTACTATCTCAAGATGTTGAGTTATTAAGGCACAGTTTTGACAATTTGAGTCAATACATGTAAAACCAGTAAGCAATTGTTTCGGGGTAACAAATTATTTTGAGATACTAAGTCAAAAATTTGAGATAGTAAGTCATTTTTTCAACATAATACGTCAAAATGTTGGCCTACAACTCTACCTGACAGGAGTGCACTTCCCTAGTTAGATATATGTATCATTCTACAGAAGTACCTCAAAACTCTGTTCCTCCTAGTAAGCAAATGTTTATGAGTGCAAAAAGGGGCAAGTTAAATATACTTACGCAAATCATGTTTAATATTTAGCACACAGCAACACAACCATTTTAAAGGTTTAATAGACAAATATCAAACAATATTTGATCAATTTGAACAAAAATGTATTTACATGCTGTTCTGTATTGAGTATTGCATGTCCCCAAGCCTAACTCCCAAAATTACAATAAACATAAAACAAAGTCAAGATATCCATACACGTTTTTAAAAGGGTCACTATGAACACGTTATTATTTGCAAAAAGAGAAGATTTAACAAAAAGGTTAATGTGTTTTTCATTCATCTGTAAAAGTTGATTGCTGCTTGTTTGTTTTTATGCACATATTTGGAGACGAGTGCAAAATTAATCTGGACTGTCACAACCGAAATAAATACAGTCTCAACAAAAAAGGTACCAAATCGTCACTGGGTTTGGTACCCTCAAGGGTCTTGAGTGTTTTTAGTCAGCAAACGTAATTGTACCACATTTCATTGCAGTTCTATTTTTAAGTTGTACTGACTCCACACACCCCGTCTCGTCTGCAGGCCTTTTAGTTTATTGTTCTGTTTTAAAACATTAGGTCATGAAAAGGTACAAATATGCACCTTTCCTCCGGAAACACTTACTTAATGTGCACAAATGGACCTTAAAACTATTGTTGTGCCTTTGAAAGTGTATTGACATTATTTATAGCTTGATGAACGAACCTGCACAGTACTTTTTTCTGGCAGTGTATGTCAATACTAAAGCAAACTTCTGTTTAGTCTGTTTAGTACTGATATTTTGGGAGACATTCTGTTGCCACTTAATGATTTCTTTTTTAAAATAATGTCTCACATGCTGTACATGGTGTGATTAACACAGTTAAAAGTCATAATTTTACATTTTTCACTGAAAAAGGCATTCAGGGGGAGGCAAAAATGCCCAAGAGTACAACAGACTATATGATTACAGGCAGAAGATTTCAACATTTGACATCTAATGTAGAAAAACTGGATCAATATTTATGTCAGATAAATTAACATCCAACTAACATAAATGAATATGATAAAACAATGCAAAGGGTATTGACAACTAAAACAGCTCTCAAAAATAACCAAATAAAAAAGGTTCTTTATTGTTCAGTCAACAAAAAGAAAAAAACTGCATTTTTTTTCGATATATCCTCAGCAAATGTCTAAATTTTAGTTAGTGTGCAACACAAAGGTAAAGAGATTTCAACAACAGAAGACATTTTTAATGTTTCTCTTGCAGCGAATTTGAATTTCTTCAGAAAACAAATAAATAATCATTTTCTGAATAATCTGAACAGCTGTGTTTTGCTTTCCCAAGAATGACATTCATGTAATTAAAACAGCAAAGTTTGGATTAATTTAAAGTTAATCTCTACAAACAACATATGAAACTTCACAGCAGCAGGTCTGTCACTTAGCAGCAAACGAGCATCACACCAGATTTTCAGTAGGAATGTTATGGTCTTATGCAATAAGAATGATCTTCAACAGTGGAACTCCACAGCGTGGGGTGTCTTCTGTGGGAGAGCCCCCTGTGCTGTGTAAACTGCTGTATGGAAGAAATATGCTGCATTTGAGCTTGAGAGTGTTTGAGAAGTTAGACTGCCTCAGAACAGAAATACAATACATTTAGGGTTCAGCTACAGCAGTTTAATCTATTAGTACTGATAGAATATTATTAACTTAATCAGGACAGAAAAGACAGACAGTTCATTATTGCTTATACCTTTTAAGGTCACTGTGCTGTGAATTAGTAACGTTGTTTCCTGTTTCCTTTGTATTTATTGACTCACTGTTCCATGTCGATCTAATCAACAAACTCATTACATCCTATTAGCTGCAGGAAACATACAGTCGTATACAAAACTTGACCTTTGGTCAAATGACATATTGTGTTGTTTTTCAAAGCGAAAATAAGTTAACACATTCTCTGCAGAGAGGACACTTAAATATGGCATTTTAGTGCACAATTTCTGTTTGTTTGCTGAGTTTAACAGGATGTCCAGTCTTGTCTGCACAGGACCTGGGTGGCTGCAGGTTTTAATGCCAAACAAGTAGTAGCAAACCTTCTTTAATCAGCTGCTCTCAGTCTTCAAACAATTCATCATGTGTGTTTCTACTTCGCTGGAATGAAAACCTGCAACCACAATGGCCCTTTACGGCTAAGAACGGCCACCTCACGTTCAACATATTGACATGAGTTTAACACATTTTCCAATGTGTTAAATGCAGCAAATAAACAGTAATTAAAATGTGCAGAAGTGTGTTTTCTGTAGAGGATGTGTTAACTTATTTTGAAAATCAACAAAACATGTCATTTGACCAGGGCAGACAATCTTTTACATATAATAAGTTTACACATGTATAATAGATGTTATATTGGGGTTTGTTTTTTTAATTTAATCTATTTAATTTTTAAATCTAATTTTTAATTTTTAATCTTTTTAAATATTCTCTAACATTTTAGATTAATTAATGAAAAGTTATTATACACAAGTAGCTTTGAAATTACTGAAAGTAAATCTAGTTTAACTAAATGTGACAGTAAAGTAAATCATTCGGAAATGTGAACAGAAAAGAGGTGTAACTTTGTGGTCATAAGATTAGAATGGAAGTTGGGCCATATTACTGCCATATTATAGCTGAGAATTTGTAGGAAAAAAGTGCTACTTATTGTTCCTCATGAAGAGTAAACAGAATAAATAAATGCATAACATTCAAACACAGACAGTTTATATGGAAGCCACTCATGTTCACACCTACAGTCTTAAAAATAAAGGTTCCTGAATAGTTCTTGGCTTGGATGTACAGTTTGTGGAAATACCTTTAAAGACAAGAGATTATGTCACAATTTTGGAGCCATGAATAATTTTTCAGATTTTTGGATAAATTGCGTCTAACATGTCTTAAACTGCTATCATAATTACTGAAGACTCAGTCCATAGTCCACTAAAAACCTTCCTGTAGTTACCTGTAGAATCTAACTAGAATATCTACATATAGATCTGGTGTCTATTTCCTTTTTAACAATGCAGTATTCACACAAATGGTGCATGTTTTCTGAGATCTTACTGGGTTTTCCAGTTCTGAGGCTGATTCCTAAAATCATTTTTCTTTAAATCAGCTTGTCTCTACATTCAGACTAAAAAATGTCACCACGCAGAAGGCCTGCATTCATGAAATGTGATATATTCTGAAGGATATTACAGAAGGATTTCCTAAAATATTGCTCCTAGCTGGATTTATGCTAGGTTTTGCAGTAGTAAATGGCCTGAAAAACATTTTTATAATAGCAGTGTTTTCTGGTAATTTCAGTTATTTATTCTGTGAAATTTCTCTTTTTCTTCACAATGAAATAAACATGTAAATTCTGACATCATCCAAAGGCTAGATTTTTGGTTTTTGAAAATTTGTGAATGTATGCATATTTATGTACATAACATCTCATTTGCATACACAAATGTGAATGTAATTTCTTGCAAAACTTCAAGTACAAAAATACTTAGTAACTAGCTGGATTTATTACCAGAATACAAGATTCATTGTGATGCTTCTTGTTCTAAAGAATTACCCAATTCATGTAGTGTCGTGCCTTAATTGGTACAGAACCTTTACACTGTGTGGAGGTTCTTTAAACTTTAAAAACGTTCTTCACACTTATCTTATTTATGGAAAAAGGTTCTATGAAGAACCACCCCTTAAAAACTTTTTAGGTAGCTAAAAGTAATCCGTCTATGGCATTGTAGCAAAGAACCATTTTTGGCACCATTATTTTTAAGAGTGTAGGCATGACCCTCGAGGACTTTGGATAATTCTCACGATTGAGGTTTGCATGTTTTTCCCTGTTGCTCTCCACCTTCTTGCTTTTTCAGTCCTCTGAAAATACTCAATGGCCAAATGAGACGTGTGTGAGCATTGCCTTTTGTACATCCACAGCAAGGGATGGTTTTGTCCCCGGTGAGGAAGTAGAGCAGAGCATTGAGCCATGAATTGCAGGACGCCAGGGGTCGAGTGATCTTGTAGCAGACGGAGATGGCGTGCATGGTGTTGCACTCTGCGTTCCTCTGTTTGAGGATGAGGAACAGAGTCCGGGTGATGTGGAACGGTAGGAAACACAACGCGAACAGGAAGGTGATGGTGATGATAGTCTTGATGGACTTGCGGCGTCTGCTGATGTGTGGAGAGTACTGAGAGCCAGCGATGGAAATGGACGTCCTATATCTGTCCTCACTGGGGCCACTTTCAGTATCTCCAAACTCCTGGACATATGGCTGGGTGTGCAGGGTCTGAAATATGGTTCTCACCACCTGTGAGTAACACCACGCAATGATGGTGAAGGGAACGAAGAAGCCCAGCAGGTGGAGAACAATTCCATATGGGACATACTCTGAGAATTCATTGTCTGTTGCAACGTCAAAGCAGTTCCTATACATCTCCAGTCCTGCTCTGCTTAGCCTCTGCCTTGAACCCAAGTTTCCTCCATCCGCATTTTCTACCACCCTCATGACTTTGCCAGTTTGGGCAAAACGAAAGATTGGGCAGGTCAGTAGGAACACCGTGACCCACACCATGGCGCATACGCTCTTCACAGCGCGCTTGCTTTCCAGGGCAATGGTCCTGATGGGGTGGCAGATGCCCATGTAGCGGTGCACAGAGATGCAGGTGAGGAAGAAGATGCTGCAGTAGAGGTTAAAGTAAAAGAGGAAGCGCACCAACCTGCACATGAAGTCCCCAAACACCCAGTGGTCACGCATAACGTAGCTGGCCACCAGGAGTGGCAGAGACAGACTGTACATCAAGTCAGTGGAGGCCAGGTTGACCATATAAATCAAAGAGGCGTTCCAACGGTGGGCGCCACGGTATGAGCGCAGGAGAACGGTGGAGTTTAGGATGACGCTGAGCAGAAACGTGATGGAGTAGCATAAAGGCAACACAATGTACTTGTATGACTCATCGTTGCTGCAGTTGAACAGTTCTGTCAGAGTCGAAGCTGAGTGGTTGCTGGAGAAATTAGAGTCCACTGAAGAACTTGCCATAGCTCTGAAAGAAGCCGAGCTCTTCATCATCAGCTGTTTCTGACATAAAGAAAGAGCTTCATCCTGCGCTTCTGTTTCACTGTTAACATTCCTGTTTGTTGTCCAATCAGTTTAATTTTAAATCCTCAAGTATATGAAGTCCTACATCTATGAAAACACAAACGAGGGTTTTAAACAATTAACTCTTAAAATGAAGTGAAGACACCATATCAATTTCAAAGTGCAATCATGCTGTAATACGTGCTGTAAGTTAAGTGTCAGCTTTGCTCTGCCTGCCCTGTATTACCAAAGGAAATTCATGTTGACCAATCATTCAATTGTGCTGATTCAGCCTCACTTGGTCTATTAACCTTTCAATCAGTAACAAGATTCTCCATTCATCCTTCTCTTTTCTCATCGTGTGCTTTTTGTAAAAAAAAAAAAAAAACAACTAATATTTCGCAGATATTGTGTGGTACACCAGCATGATCTACATTTGCTGTCTTAATATGCTACAGGCCTCAGTGCATAGTCAACATGTGCAGAACAGTCAAAACACCTCAGTCTGGCCTTTACGCCAGTGTCTAAATGTCAAGTGTTTGTAACATGGAGGTTGCTTTTGCAACGCAACAGTGTGTGTTCCTGCAGGTATGTGTCGGTAAATAATTAATATGCATTCATTCAGACAGAAATGCTGAGCGGAAACCCAATACAGCGTACAGTACAGCGTGAGACTTTAGAAATCCTGCAATAATAGAAAATGCAAAACATTAAAGGGTTGATCTAAACCATTTAACCACCAGCACTTAAGAGGATTCCTTAATAGAAGGTAGGTCACTCAGCACTTCTAAAGCTATATCAGAACTAAATACATTGATAAGTTGAATTCTTTACCTGTTTTTTGAGTGAGTAAAGTAAATCACCATTCAGGACAGGTCCAGTGTGTACCATCTGTACCCCCGTTTATTTTGCCAAATAAAACCAATCCAGGAATTGGCTTTTGTAGACAATTATCTTCTCACTGATTCTGTTCTCTTGTTGTCCTGCTACTGATCTCTCTCGTTCTTCAACCAGCCCTTACTGTGCTTGGCTGAGCGGCTGAGCTGTGTAAGGCTGAAAGCTCACGTCCAGTAGATACTGACATGCGCTCCAGCAGGTAGAAAGTGGATCTTTGTCAGATTGTCTGTTACATTGTACGTTACAGTGTACGCTTTTCATCTCGTCAAGCACGTACAAATTCAGCATTTGATCACATCTTTAGTTTATGCTATTTCACACAGTTTTAGATGCAATTACATTTTACCTGAGCTCTTTGACCATTTTATCAGTTAATGCGACTGTGCTTAATACACTCGTTTCACTGCCACACTGACTAAAGTGGCACTGCTGTGCTTAGGGTCAGTGGTGGTCCTATGGTGGTCCCATTCCATTGATGGACAGGGTTGAAGGTGACTGGCGCATTGTGCAGATGGGCTACAGTCAGTAACTGTAAACCTAAAGTGCACCTATATGGTAGGTGTTTCTGATAAAATGGCCAATGAGTGTAAATCTAATAAACTGGCCACTGTGTACACAAAACACAAAGCTTATACAACTCTAACACATAAGGCTATTTACAGTTCTATGCAAAAGTGAGAGACCAGTCTTCATTTAATTTATTTTCGGTCAAAACGGCCATTAAGTTTAATTTTAAATGTCTATTTTTTCACGCCCCCCAAGTTCAGTCTTTGAAGCTTTGGTTACTTTTTCTGCTAATTATTCAAGTAATCACAAACACATACAGTGATGTTAAGGTCTGGGCTCTGAGGTGGCCAGTACATTGTTAAGACATCACCATTAGTTTTTTTATTTGATTTGTGTATTTCCTTTTCTCAGTCCAAGTCAAGAACTATTCAGATAAGTAAGAGTGGTGGGTTGTCTTTTCACAGTAGAAGGATGGACAGAAACACCTGATTTTTTTTAGATCTGAAGTAAGAGTGGAGCTTGATTTTCTCCTCCTTGTTTATCTGATGGGGACAGTTTTGGTGGTCTACCAGGTCTTGCACGGTCGTTATGAGTCCCATTTTCTCTATATCTTTTGATAAATTTTTATATTCCAGATTTAGAATTTCCTGTTTTTTAACTTACAGTCCTTTTACTTTTCCCTTCTTCCTCATGCAAGTGGGTTATCTTTTATCTAACCTCCTAAGAAATATCTCCTGAAACTTGTTCTTAATGGCTGCATTGACTGGAAATTAGGCAAGTGAGGGGTGGTCTCTCAGCACTGATGCACAGTGCTGTAAACACACAAAATCATTACACATATTTGATGTTTGAAATTTAATGTCTGAAACTATGTAAGCCAGTGGATTCTCAGGACTGGAGCTAATAACCACAGCCTTCTATCATCTTAAATGGCCCTCTCAACATTAAATTCCAACACTGAAGAGTACATTGTTGCTTTGATTAAAAAAAGCCCTTGCTTTTCCAAAATGGGGACTTCACAGGAGAATGAAAAAAGTAACCTTTAATGTCTGTTAATGTAATGAGATTTTAAGTAATTTTGGACCATTTCTGTTGACCAATGCATTAATAAATGTCCAGAGAATGTGAAGAGCAGCTGTTGTTTTGGGTGGAGTTAACATAGTTTTAATCTGACAGCAATGATATAAAATACTGACTTTGCAATTAACCAGAAGAACTACTAACTCATATATTAAATAAATGTTACAAATTTATTCAGTTAATATAAATTCTGTCAATTTAAAAAAAAAAAATGTAACAACAGAAAGTGTCAGTTATTAAATTCTCACATGCAGTGAAGCTTTTGGCTGCACCTCCATGGCTGATATTATAGATTATTTCATGCAGGTCATATCCACAGGAAGCATCTTTAATTGAAAATGAATCACTGATTAATATACCTCACAGTTATTGATCGCACACAGATTTCATAGCAGCTTTCATAGTTCTTATAGGTGCTAAAAACTGACCCTATGTGACCAGGCGTATTTCTTTAGATAATGAGAAGCATGCTTGTTTTATGCTTAAAGAGCTACTCATTCACATTTATAAAGCCAAATCTCTCACAATAAAACTTGTGACTGAAAATAATCCGACTCACAAACTGACCAACATTTCTGTGAGCAACTCAAGACAAACAGGATGCTGTGGCTTTAGTTAGTGGAAAGGCGGATAAGAGTATCTTATCTAATAGTACGCTGCTGATGTCGAGAAATCCCACGTTCCACTGTAGTCCATGTAGTCCATATAATTATGGCTACTCCTGACTTCACATGAGTCATAGTTATGTCATATCCTGTACATCCAGGAGCATAGCATCTTGTTTTGTTCGAAGATGGTCCCGCACCACTAGATGCTTCACCAGTTCTGAGCTTAGATCTGAAATTAATAATAACACACATAAATACATATAGTATATAGTTACATAATAACAATAATAGTAATGAGCTGTAATATGTAAGTTATGTAGTAGTATGTTATATAGTATGTAGTAGATAACCAAGGCCACAACAGAATTAATTATAACAATAGCTATTATTATTATTATTATTATTATTATTAAACTAGTTGTATACAGTACTATGCAAATGTCAGAGACCACCCTTTACTTATTTAATTTCCAGTGAAAATAGCCAAAGTACAATTTATTAATTTTTCTTTGTCATAAAAAGCTTAAAACATCTTGCTGTTGTCATCTTCAAAATGGTCCATCTGTTTCTCTGCATACTTTGTTAGCCCCCTTTTACCCTGTTCTTCAGTGGTCAGGACCCCCTTGAACCCTCACAGAGCAGGTACTATTTGGGTGGTGGATCATTCTCAGCACTGCAGCAACACTGACGTGGTGGTGGCGTGTTAGTGTGTGTTGTACTGGTACGTGTGGATCAGACACAGCAGTGCTGCTGGAGTTTTTAAACACTGTGTCCACTCACTGTCCACTCTATTAGACATTCCTACCTTGTCAGTCCACCTTGTAGATGTAAAGTCAGAGACGACAGCTCATCTGCTGATGCACAGGTTGTGTTGGTCATCCTCTAGTCTTTCATCAGTGGTCAGAGGACATTGCCCACAGGACGCTGTTGTCTGGATATTTTTGGTTGGTGGACTATTCTCAGTCCAGCAGTGACATTGAGGTGTTTAAAAACTGCAGCAGCACTGCTGTGTCTGATCCACTCAGACCAGTGCAACACACACTAACACACCACCACCACATCAGTGTTACTGCAGTGCTGAGAATGATCCACCACCCAAATAGTACCTGCTCTGTGAGGGTCCATGGGGGTCCTGACCACTGAAGAACAGGGTGAAAGGGGGCTAACAAAGTATGCAGAGAAACAGATGCACTACAGTCTGTAACTGTAGAACTACAAAGTGCACCTATATAGTAAGTGGAACTGATAAAATGGACAATGAGCATAGAAACAAGGAGGTCATAATGTTATGCCTGGTCGATGTATATATATATATATATATATATATATATATATATATATACACACATTTTCACTTCTTTTCCTTTGTCTTTTCCCTTTCTTAATCAAGTGGGTTATTTTATATATAATTTCCTCAGAAATATCTTGTGTAAAATGAAATTTTAATAAATTGACACTAGAAATTAAATAAATAAAGAGTGGTCTCTGACTATTGCACAGTACTGTATTACAAGTGCTTGCCACTCGATCTATTACCTGACAATAACAAGCAACTCAACAACATCTACATAAACTCATGTAATAAGGAGGAGGACATGTTAACCCTGAATGTCTTCATTGAGGGAAGCACTGAGGGCATTTAGCTGAAGCACGGAGCAGGTCTGCAGGTCACTGCGGCTAAGCATTTTTCTCCGAATGTTTACGTCATTGGGGGTCTTCTGCTGAATCACCAAAACACACCTCAAGCATGTAAGTAAGTCTTGCACAAAAAATTACAGTTACCTTCACATTTAGTTAATTTTAGAAGGTGATATACAGCTCAGGCCTCCTCTCACCTGCTGCTCCTGCTTCTGTTCAGCCCAAAGCTTATCTCTGAGCTCTCTCAGAGCCGCTCTCACTTCCTGTTTCAGACCAGCACAACAACGCCCACGTCCTGCTGTGTCATGCGGGCTCTGGTGAACAAGCAGATTAAAAGAGACATCTTATTACGTACATCCTGCTGTGGTACGACAAACTGCAGTACAAAGAAAGGAATTAGTCTAAATGCAAATTAAGTAGAGTTGTAGTGGTGCCGATACTCTACGCTCACCTTTTCGCTGGATGTCCCTTCATCATCCTCTTCCTCGCTCTCACTGTTGTTGGTAAAACACAGCTGCAGGTTTTTAGGGCTGTTAAACCTACAGGAAAAGATAAGAAACTGTGGTGAAGAAGAGAGTCAAGGTTATGTTTCCCAAACATGCTGCAGTACAATATTTCCATAAAGCTATTGACCAGAGTTGTGTAGATTGACCTAAAAAGCTGTTATTTAAATAAAATAATGACTAAAATAATGAATATAATTATGAAATAAAAGTAGCACCAGGGACATTTTGTCCATCAGGTGTGCAAGTTAGTACATAAAGCAATGAACAAAAAAAATATGACCATCCGCCCAATATTCTGCTGGTCCTCTGTGTGTCACCAAAACAGCTCCGACCCACTGAGGCATGAGCTCTACAAGACCTCTGAAGGTAACCTGTGGTATCTGGCATCAACAAATTAGCAGAAGATCCTTACAGGTGGCATAGAGGAGCTGCTGCAGATGGGCTACAGATCTAGCACATCCCACAGATACTCGATCATATTGAGATCTGACGAATTTTGAGGCCTTGAACTCTTCATCATGTTCCTCAAACCATTCCAGATCAACGTCTGCAGTGTGGCAGGGTGTTGAAAGAAGCCACGGCCATCAAGGAATACCACTTCCAGGTATTGTACCTGGAGTGTACCTGGTTCGTAACAATGTTTAGGTAGGTGATACATGTCAAACTAATGTCCTCATGAATGCTCAGACCAAGGGTTTCCCAGCAGAACACTGCCCAGAGCATTGCACTCCCTCCACCAACTTCCCACAGAGCATCCTGGTTCCATCACTTCCCCAGGTAAATGGTGTGCATGTACCAGGCCGTCCATGTGATGTGAAAG